GCAGTCTCTTGCAGAGAGAGGCTACTCCTCATATGCTCGGGTGTGAAACTAAACTGCTGTTACCTGATTTTCTGCACCATTTCTCTAGCAGCGAGCTAAGCTTGGTACTTCACACTAACCTTTCCTGATGGAACAGCTGAGCCTGTGCTGGCTACCTTCTGTCTCAGAAAGATTAAGGTCTCAGCTTCAGCTGTGATCTGTTTAAACATGTTTTTCCATGTCTTTCACTAACTTGGATTTCCATGCACTCCAGGAGTAGGTCCCTCGGTAACAAGCTGTTAAGCACTGCAGAGCTATAGAGGAAAACCAAATAAAACCGTTACCCTCATTACAGCAGCTGCAGGAGGGGAAAAATATAACCACTCCAAAATCAAAACCTACACACACTCCAGGCTCATCTTTCTCCATTCACACCATAATTTCATTTGCTCCCTACTAACCAGAGAGACCACTATGGGAGAGGTGACCTGCCTTTTTGATACTATCAGAGATGAAAGAAGTTTTGTCAAAAATCTCATAGATCACATTTTCTATTATTAAAGAATAAATCTAAAGAACTCCAGTGTATGCCCTGTGTTTTTCCATGCCACACTAATTATTGCATGCATATGCAGTAATAGTAACTCAGATTACTCTCTGGGCAGAGGACAGCAAATAAGAGCATCACAGAAAGCTACTGCTTGAGTAGCTTGAGTATCTCCCCTGGTTTCAGTAGAGAAACATTGTTTTGACATCACCTTGTTTTTGTAGATACTTTTAGGAAGGGCACAGCAAGTGCAGTAGAGTTCAAACTCTGGGTTCAATGACACCTTTTTTTCAGAGCAGCACACAGTGTTGCAAGGCAGTTGAGCTACACACTCTGTGTGGCTAAACTTCTCAGCATTAAGGGAATGTGAAAAGGGATAGAAAACCCCATGTAAGTTTTCAATAAATGCTACTGAGGCTTTCAATAACACATAGAGCTTGGGTGATGCTCTGGCTTTTCATATACAGCCTGTGATGTCACGCTGCGGCTGTGACATCAGCACAGCTCTGACACAGGAGCTCTGCCCACGCAGCTTGACTCATTATTTAGTTCTGCAGTTTTCCTACTCCTTCAGAAAAAGATAACTGGGACATTATAGTGCCAAGTGTCATTCCACTTCCAAGCTCAAACATATGTACCAAACACCTCCTTTTTAGCAATAACTTGCCGGCTAACTTGTCAGTGTCTCTACTGTGCTGCTGCTGCATGCAGGGAGGTTTTCAACAAACTGGAAACACACCTACCAAGGCTGAGCAATAATTCTTGTGATAATTAAACATTTTCTTTCCTTTTTTTCTTTTTGAACAGCAATGCGAAGAGAAAATCACTTCAAACTATCATGACACAGAAACCTAAGACATCTGCCAGTATGGTTATTTAGGATGAATTACTTGAGCCTAGATTTTACCTAGTACTTAAGCCCAACTCTTCTTAACGCTCAGCTGGAAGCATGCAGAATCAGCCCCATCCATTTGGGTCAGAACCTTCCCACATGCCCACAAAAATACAATTGAAAATCATCACCCGAATTTTGCTAATTCACATCATCCCTTTCTCAAGGAAAAATATGCTTGTCTGCAGCTGACTGGGGGAGAGCCCATGGCAGCACAGGATAAAACAATGGACAGAGTCTCCAGCCAGTGCTGCCTAATGAAAAAATCTTGAGGGTATAGCAATATGTGCAGCATTTATCTGTGGGAGTGTTGTTCACTCCTGAACTAGGGTATGGGCACCTAGCTCAGGTAAGCAGCAGTGACCCAGTTACCTGCAGACTCCCTGTGCTGTACTCTGCACCCTCAGCTGCAGGAATCGCACGGTAACATCAAACCAAGCAGTGAAGCTTGAATCCAGGTCTGCAGCAGGCCAGCAGCATCCACTTACACTCAGCAGACACACTCTGAAGCACAGAAGACTGGCAGCAAGTGAGTATCTCCCTCGGCTGAGGTCTTGCCTATACTGCAAAATGCAGTTGCCTATAGCACAGAATACAGGCAACTGGAACACGTGGGCCAACCCAGAGCAAACCTAATCCAAGAAATTAAAGCTAACAAATTCACCCAGTGAGTCCCGGGGAAGATGAGGACAGGCTTCAGCCCAGGCCAGCAACACGAGCACAAATGCAGGAAGCCCAGCAGGTTGCACATCCTGTTCCACAGCATCACCAGGGCTATTCTTAGCTGCAGGAGCTGGTGCAGGAGGAAAATGCTGGGAAGCCAACCAATGCTGTAACTAGAAACAGAGCTTGGGTGATGGGGGGTGGGGATTGCCACTTGGTCTCAGCAATACTTTAAGGTTTGTGTCGATTGTCAAAAAAAGGGGAAAAAAAGGATAAACCAAAGCACAAATATATATCAATACTAGCCAAAGTGTCAGTGGCAAGGCTTTCATACTAGGACTGGATGCTAGCACAGATCAGCCTGAGAAGGTGTGTGCTGAAAGTGCTTATCTGCCTGGAGTCACACACTCCCATCCCACCCTTCTCCTGTGGCACTAGTTCTTCCAGTGGAAAAGCAGCAAGGAGTTGTTATGGGAGCTGGACCTGGTGGTCCTTGTGGCAAGCAACTATCTGCAGTAGGAGGTCTAGGAATGACATGGAGGAAGGTATGTGTAGCAAAAGTAAACTACAGAAGCTTCCCTTCCTGCTAATTTAAAATTCCCACCAGCATGTGGGAATTTTAAATTAGCATGAGACCAGCATGTCTCAAAGGATGTTCATAGTAAGTTCAAATCACATCATTCCATGGAGAGGTAGAAGCAGCTTTGGAAAATGGCAAAACTCAAGCTCACATGCAGTAGTTACAGCACATACCCTCTTGCACACATAACTAACAATGTGGAATCACTTTTCCCTCTTGAAGCAGAAAAAGGAGCTGCTAAAGGGCTCCAAAATGAACTCATCACTGCAAGCTTATTAACAGCTCAAAGCAGGCATTGGTCACCATCCTGCCCTCCTCAGTACTAGTGCTGGCATCTGCAGTCAGTCCTTTTCTCCCAAAAAACTATGCAAACTGTAGTTTTTCTGAATTGAAACAAATTAAGCTGAAAAGCACCAAAGCATCTTCTGCTCTAAAGCAGATTTCTTCCAAAGACATTGGAAGAGCAGTATAGAGTCCTACCAGGAAGCCTGTCTTATTGACCTGTATGTCAGAATTTAATCATGGCAAATTAACAGGTCAAGAATTTTTTTATTATTATTTTCAAAAGCTTTTTCATTTGAGCTAAAAAAATGCCTTTTGCATAATTAACTCTTCACAATACTAGAACTGAGCAACTATTCTTTTAATTGCACCTGGAACCCAGACAGTTGGAAGCCAGGACTTTAAAACCCATTTACTAACCTCCACCTCCTCTATTTGTGCTCTTTTCATCTTTTTTTGATGTTCTGGGAGATAGTAAATCCGTATTTCTACTAGTTAGATTCCTTCCTGGGAGCTGATCTGAGAAAGAAATCCCAACTAAATGTATTTGATAGTCAAGAGCTCCATTTATTTTTCTCAGCACTTTAATACTTAAAAACAAAACAAAACAAAACAAAAAAAAAGTGTTTATTTTAAAAGAAGGCAAAAAGAAATATCATCAATGAACAAGCTATGCCAATTATATTTCAACATTTTTCAGAAACAGGATCCAGGACATGAAAAAAAAAAGAAGCCAAATTAATCCCATGTGCTTTATGGAGACATAGAGATGAAAGATATTTTTCAGCTTTGTGGTTTTGCTTTTCAACTAGTTAGACAACACAGTGAGTGCAAAAAATATAAATGTGAGCCTGCTAAAACATGGTGCTGTACCTGACAGGCAGCTAACCACACAAAGCAAAGGTCACAAGGAATAATCAGACCTTCTGTTATCAGCAAAGCTACGTTTGATTTGGAAAATTGTCAACTCTGGCTTTAACTCAGGCAAATGGAGCATCCACCTCTTTCTGCCTAGCAGAGAAAGGAAAAGCCAAAGATACTGTGGACCTGAACCACTTAATGCATACCTAAAAAGGGTGTAACTGATGCTATGCTAGGGAGCTAAAATAGTCAGAGCATATTTATATGCTTTTAAATATAGTTAGCAGTATTTCCCATTCCCTCCACGTGGAACTTGGAACATCTAGTTACAAAATTCACCCCCTCCATCCCTCCCGGTCTCTCCATAGCTGAAGAGATTAGAAAGTGCAGTCAAAGCAGGGGGCAGGGGAAGGAGAATGGCAAGAATCTTTATCCCTCCTCCCCAAACTCCACCAGGCAGTGTTTAATAAATTCAGATGGCCCGATTTCAGAAGCTAACAATGTCAGTTTAGCTAAACTTCCTAACAAGTCTTAGGACACTCAGTGGGCTTTTTTTCCCTTTCTTTTTAGAGAATAGGGAAAAGGAATAAATTCTGGAATTACACCAAACTAACAGTATTTCTATAGCAAATTTAGAAACACCATAGCAGTCCTGATTTTAATACATCCATAAAATCTAGGTACTTTTTTCTTTAAAAGCTAGACTACACTGGCAGAAGCTTTGGACTCACTCCCACAAGCAATACCTGGTGTGCAAGTAAGTACTCGTCAGCCTGATGAAACTATTTAAGAATACAGAAATTTTCAGGACTGAGCCCTTGCCATGACTTTTGGGGAGTCACAAGCTGGGGCTGGTTCTCTTACATAACTCTGTGTATGTCCATACCGCACACTGCGATGTGGCAACTGCAGATATTAACAAAGCCCACGCTGGGTGTTGAAAGCAAATGAGCTACAATTATTAGGAGTTCCACATAATTTACTCTGCTAAAAAGAAAGACTGATGTGGCTGGCCCACTGAGTGTCTGAATTAGTTCTGCACCTCACCTTAGGTGCAGATATAATCTAGGAAGTGATTCTAAAATAGCATGTTCCTGAATGAGACGTAGTAAAATATTTCATCCAGTGATGTTTGGTACATCTCTGACACATTTAATCAGAAGCCTAAGCAATCTAGACACTGAAATATAAACTTATTTTTCCTTAAAATCAGTGTTCCATAATTGTTTTTATTTTAAAAATTCAGGAATGTGATACACAATACAATTAGCTCCCCACCACTGCAGTGTTCACTTACATGAGATTCACTAGTTTCATGCTTTGTGGAAAAAAAATTAAAAAAAGAGACTGTGCAATGCTTTTGAATACTCTCAGTATTCTTAAACTGTGATCTTCAGAACAAATCAAGTCTGTATAACCCCAGACAGATCAAGTTTAAAAAAAACACGAGCTATTTCACAAGCTAGTGGGCTACAATCGGGTCTCCTACAGCCAGAACAGAGAAATTGTGTTCCTGCTACTGCACAGCCACCACGCTGACCTCACTCTATGCTTTCAGGGAGTTTATCATCAAGGGCTAAGGAGACTAAAGGGCCCTGGTAACACCAGCCGGTGCTGCACGTGCAACAGGGCACATGACAGAGGCCACACAACTCCCCCTCCTGCCCCCATCATCATCACCATCATCACTGTCACCTCTGCATCCTGTCCTGATACTTAAAATAACGAGGGGGAGAGCTTTTTGTCTTTTTAGTTAGCCATTGCCTGCAATGGACACAGAAATAGAAAAATATGACTTCTGGCACACAAAAAAAAAGAGAGATTAAATAGTTTAAAATGGAATTAGTGACTACAACTCCCTCTATTCAGATGCATTTACCGAGACTATTAACCAGTGATGGTAACAGTTGCCCTCTTTTTATAAGAGCAACAGGAAAGAAGTTAATCAGACTTCCCAGTGCTACCATGTTCAAATTTGTTGGTATTTTTTAAAATATACTAAAGAACGGTAGTTCCATGGTGTGTTAGTGATATACGGCAGAACGTCAAAAATTCATACTAACGATTGAGACAAATTTTAAACCAGCAATGAAAATAATTAGTGAAAGTTTACCATAGAAAGCAAAGATACACATTTAAAAAAATAGTACTTTGTTCATTTCAAAATTTACTTGGTTAATACTCTGTAGTATAGTAGCAGTGGTAGCATACTCAGCAAATGTAGTCTCATACAAGATCTCATTTAACAGTCAACTCTAGATCATATACAGGTAACAGAAAAAAGAGCTAAGATACTTCAGAAAAAACAAAAACATATATAAATACTATATTAACACATTTAAGTTAGTTTATGAGACTATACAACAAGCATAAACACAGAAAAAGGTGAGCAATGCTGGTGGCTGCGAAGCACCAACATCCCAAGCCAGCACAAAGCCGAGCCCACCCACCCACAGCCCACAGCTTCCTGCAGATGCATCTGAGCAGCCAAGAGGTAAAACCCCAGGCAGTGCTGTGCTGCAGCCCAGCAATGCAGCCTGTGAAGGGGCTCCCTGGAAGCAGAGCCAGCACCTCCAGCTTTCCCGTGCTTTGGCACACAGCGCTTGGCCAGAGCGTGGCGCGAGACGGGGGCTGGTGTTGGCTCTGCAGACTGCCCAGGTAAAGCACAGCACTGCTAATCCACCCATGGATAATCGAGAGTTGACTGCAATGCTCTGCTGAGAGCTTGGGTAAGACCACTGACACGACTCGGCCAGTCCTGGTCCGATGAGCAGCAGGACTATTTTTTTGGACTATTTAGGAGCAATTATGATGCAAGACAAATTAAAAATGCAAACTAGGGAGGTGTTCTGTATCTGGAGGCAAAGCTACATTCCCTTCACTAACAAAACATTCTTTTTAAAAAAAATCTGTATTTAAATACTGTTAAAAACCTGAAAACCACAGCATCAAAGAATTCATAAGGCCAAAACTATCCTCAGTTCCCTCTGGTTGTGCCTAGGTATTGCAATACATTTGTAGAAGTAGTAAATGCCAGGTAATCTAGTATCTTATCCTCTTTCCAGTGCCTTCCAGTAACAGATCTCAGAGCTCTTCACACAATAATTAAGCCTCACAACAACCCTGTGAGGTAGGTATTATCCCCATTTGAAGACAGGGAATCTGAGGCAAAGTGTTTATCTTGTTCAGAGTCATAGAGCAAAGAATGGAAGATCTGAGTTGTTTTCCAGTTTTTCACACAGGAGCAATCACAAGACATTAGTTCCCATACATAACATGAGAGTGGATCAAAAGGGCCAGGGTTTTAGATTAGATTTCTTGTATGTTTTATCTTTCAACTCTCATCTCTGCCAAATTCAGAGTCCACAGAGCAGTCTCTCCTTTCCTAAGGTGGAAGTTGGTGGCACACTGTAACAGCTTCTTTAGAGCCAGTTGTCAATTAACTGAGTCAAGATTTTAAACCATAGATTCAGATACTGAGTAAGTGAAATTATGTGATACATAAGCATCTTGAAGTGTGAAATACAGTGATACCTGCACCACTTCCTTAAAAGTCAGTGGAGGACTCCTGAGGACATGGTGGGAGACCAGGACTGAAGTCACTGCAAGTGTTTTACAGACACACTCAGCTGGAAGCAAAATGCACCATTATGTTTGGGGAGCTGCAGTCTGTGCTTGAAAGCAGGAGTTATACTGTCAGTGCTTGACAGACCTTTACCAAGAGAGCACTTATTGACAGAACTAATTATTTTATATTAGTAAACTCAGCATCAGCTAAATATTTATTCATAGCACTGTTGAGTCAAGGGTTCCTTAAATCTCAAAGACTTTCATGACCAGACACAACTTGGAAGTAAGGGAAAACAGCAGAAAATCCATAAAACATAGAAGTCTGTGTTACTTTATCAACCAGTCTCCTGTCTGGATCACAGAGCAGTATACAGTAGCTTGAACTGCCATTCTGACAGGAAAAAAACCCTTTCACATCTGTTGTTTTCAATTACCTAGCTACCTTACCAGAAGAAGAGGGGACAATTTCTGACAATCACATGATGTTGCCTTTAAAATATGCTGTGCGATAAATTCACTAAAAAAAAGCCTTCACAATTTTTATTATTACATAGCTTTAAGAAAAATATGTGAAACTGTAAAGTGGTTTCCAGTTTTTAGTAGTTATATCTTTAAAAATGTTCTATGAACTTTGGTTTTCTTAGGGCTTCTAAATAAACAATATATTAAGATATCTACAAATCAAATATTAAAGGAAAAAGTAGGTCCAAGAAATCTGTAACACAAGTTGAGTTCCTACATGCTTATCCCTCAAATACCTTTTCATTGGAAAAAAGTATCTTAATTTGAAGCACAGCAAAAAGTGTCTCTGCTGAAATGTTGAAACTGGTTTTCTGAAGTGTTACAGCATGGATGCACTTTCTGTCTGTCTCAGTCAAACAAAGTCAACACAAACGCATTGTATCATGACAGTGACATTATATTCTTTAAAACAAGCATTCTATATTTAGCAATATGACAAGAACAAGGACTTCAGCAATTACACTATTTGGCAAAATCGCATCTCAAACGTCTGTCTCTTCCTCTTGCAACACAGCTGTTGACAAAGTCTCCACAACTCAGACAGCACCCTTCAGGGAGTTACAGAGATGACTCAAACTGCTCATTTTGATCGGTGTTCGAGGCCTCCAGCTTCACTGAAGGGATGCTCTCTGACTTAGTCCTCCTCGTTTTCGGAAATTCAATGACAACTTCTGAACAAGAAATACTAAGCGACGAGGATTTTTCTGTCTTCTTTGCAGTACTATCTTCTCCTGCTCCACAACACTGCTTCAAAGCACACTGAGTCCTGCAAGGAAACTCGCATTTCCCTCTCCCTGACTCAGAGCCAACGCTGGCAAACTCTGGCTGAATGGTAGTTGCATGAATCCCTTCGTCGTGAAAGATCTCTTTGATGCGCTTGGCCACCATCATGTACGTGGAAGGGTCAGGGCACTTGATGTGAGCAGTGCCAATGATCCTACTCCCTGCTAGCTGCCAAATGTGTAATTCATGGATTGCTTCGACTCCTTCTAGGGTACGTAACTTTGAGTTCAAAGAATGGACGTCTATTTGTTTGGGAACAGTCTGTAGCAGGATGAGGGCTGACTCCCTAAGTAACGGGTAAGTTGTGTAAAGGAGTATACAGACCATAATCAGACAGAGGACAGGATCTAAATATAGCAACCAGCAAGGACCAGCCACCGTAATGCTCTCTGGCTCTGACTTGTTAGCTCTGCCAAGTACTCGGGATAAAGTAGCATTTTCCATGCAATGATTATTGACACATGGATTAAAGCAAGGCCCGTCTTCAGGGCATGGATTCCACAAGCCATAAAAGAGCAAGGCATTCACTACCACAATTACTGAACCTAAGGCATCTCCAAAAACATGCAGAAATACTCCACGCATGTTAAGTTGTGCACTAGAGTCTTCTTCAACTTCCTCTTCATCCAGAGGATAATGGCCAGCATTCCCATTCACTTGTACGTCACTCATGTCATCTTTCATATCGCCTGCAAGAAAACAATAAAACAATTAGGCATGAGATATAATACAACATGGTAATGTAATTCCTTATAAAATCATACCCAACGGTAAGCAGGGCACACTGAGTATGAAACCAAAAAGCAACTCAACCCACACACTTAGCAACATCTTCTCTGGCTGAGGAAAATTCAGTTTTCCCAATGAGTGATCTAAATAATCTAGAAGGCAACTGTTTCTACACGGAGATTAAAGACGTAGAGTAGCAAAGAATGAAGATGACCACATTTTAATTACTGCACTGAAAAACTACTTTCACCTTTCCAGCTGCATAACCATTTGCCTATTCACTGCTTTTTTCCTAAACAAAATGCAGAGCTACAGACAATATGTAAAAAAGCTGGTTTAAGTAGCTTAGTTAGGTACATTTGTTCCTTCTTTTGAAACACTGATAGACTGATCACATTGCTAAAATCCATCTTTAACCATATGATTGCATTGCTATTTCCTATTAAAATTTGAAGCTGGAAGCTCAAAAGGTGTATGATACAGCTGGGTAGTAGATTCTTTTCAGGTTTACCGATGCCTTTTCAAGAGGCTTTGGAATTCAAGGAAAAGAAAGTTCTTCCAAGATGGTGCATGGAGCTAGCAGGACCATGAGATACAATCAGCTGAAATTTTACGTCTAAAACACAGAATTTACCAGCAGAATTGACTATAGAGCAGTGTAAATTATCATTGAAACTCCAAGGATATGAACTACTGTTATTTATTTTCAGAATACATAAATAAATAAATAGTAAAATTCTATTTTTTATGCAAGTGACACATAGCTTTTGAGTGACATACAGGTTCTGATGTCCAAAGTCATATGTCATGGACAGTTCATAAATTAACATTTTAGTGCCCTCCTTTGTTACAACTGTTTGCAATATTTATCACTCCAACACAGCTCGCCGGCTACATGGGAATAAACACACACATCATTACAAAGAAGAATCCTTTCTGAAAGAAAACAATTTTGCAATGTTCAAATTGGAGAGAACTGTACATGATTAACCTCCTGCTTTTCTTCAGAAGTTCTTCTTTGGCTACTTCTAGTGGTAAAGAAAAGCAAGAGGCACTGGGCCCTGGCCCGACAAACTGAAACAAGGAGCTCTTACTGTTTCTGAGGTTATGGAGTTCAGAGCTTTGTAAACATTAACACGTTAACAAGACGTGCAGCTTCTGCTGTTCTGCCCTTGTGGCAGCGATTCTGCAATTGCAGAGTGCCCTCAAGTCCTCTCCTCTCTGAAGAGGGAGTGGGCTCCTACCAAGGCTGAGTTCCAAGCCCCAGCTCATTACCTCATCCAGTACGCTTCTGCCCTGAAGCCCCAGCTACATTTTCCACACTACCTCTAGGAGTTATGGAACATGGGACCTGTAACTTTCCAGAGAAGTAAATACATTAGAGGGAAATATCTCGGGTTACAGAGTTCAGACCTCAAGGTCCACGATGAGAGCAAGGAAAGAGGAACACTCTACTCTGTACCAAGTACTTGGAATAATGGAGATCTGAAAAGTCAGTACAGCTATCTGTACGAGTGGGTAACGGGACACATAGTTCCAGAAAGCTCTTGAACTTTTTTTAACGGCAAATGGTTAAAACATGTCCATTTGAAATACGTTCATTGAAATGTAACAAAAACCTGATTATTTTGCATAAAGTGTATCCATAGAAATGCCTGTGCAGGTCTAGCCCCTAAGGCTATGCCTACTTTTCACTTCCACCTTAGGAAATCAGGACTACCCCATTCTGTGATTTCCAGTGAAGGCACAGTACCACCTTTGCTGTCATCTCTACATTTTATATCTTCTCACAAGCCTCCAACCACCTCTACCTGCAACTTTTTCATAGGCAAACTATGAGTAGGTCCATCCATTACATAATCATGACAGGGGAATGAAGGAAATATAAACTTATTTCAAAGTTTCACTGTGACCAAAATTATGTCCTATTACCACCTAAACACCCACAACAAATTATTTGTTACTGCCAGAAGCACATCCATGAGACATTACAGAGAAGTTAGCCCACAACAACATGCATTTTAATCCATGCTATAACTTTTTTTCTCTAACTAGTCCAAAACTTGGCTAAAAGCACAACTTTTCACCATTAAAGAATAATTCCCAAGCCAAGATATGTTTGAGACTAAGGGTTAAGAGAATTTTACATTGTTTGAATCTAATTATTAGGGTACCTTTGTTGGAGCTAAACCAACATTAAGAGCTTATCATGTGGTCAGGAAAATGATGTAGCGTATTTAGAAGAACTTTCCTATCCTCTTGAAAAGCCTGTCTTTCCAAAGCCAACATGAAGTCAGAGAAATAGAAACTAAGTTTCTCAAATGTGCACTGGAACCTCCCATCACAGAAAACCTGAAACTGTAGCAAAGTTCACTCCGATCAATTAAAGCTCCCTTTAAGCTACAACAATGGTCTGCTGATGTCACCCTGAAACTGACGGAGAGAAATTGGTTCCAAAGCCTGAAGTCCATTCCTGCTGGTGACAAGGATGCCCTAGGAACAGAGAAGTGGCAATCACACACACCTTTCACTCGCTAGCACGCAATACTTGGCTTTGACCGAGCAGCTTCAAAATCAACTATCCAGGCTTCTGGATCCACCAAAAATAATCCTAGAAATTCCTACCCGTGAAACTGTTTAACCACAATTGGAAAGGGAAGATTTTAAACGTATGCCTGTGTGTAGGCCAGTGGGAAGGCGCACACTTTAGAAAGCTAAACAAAAATTATTCCAAGACACCACACATGTGCCCTGACACCAGCGTGCTACACATTCCGGCTGCCACAGTTCTGACTGGCAATTTCCAATACTTCTTCCTATTAATACCGATGTTATGAAGAAGCACAACGTTATTGCAGTGGAATACACTTCTGTATGTTTGGTATAGATGGAGAGTAGCTTCCCAAGTAGCTGAGAGCTGACCCAAAGGAGCAATCCAGCTGTTGGGACCGAGGCACTAAGCCGGGCTCCATTTGATGTGTAGCCAGTTCGGATGGCATTAAGAGAGCGTCTTGTGACAGCTCGTCTCACTAGGCAAGAAACGCTTGTCGTGTGCCTTCCCTTGCAGAACCAACTTTTTTCCCAGGGCAAACTGCTTTATCCTAAGACTCTTTTACACTCTGACCTGTCTGCAAGACAGAGCTTAGAGCATCCGAAGGGAAGGCGTGAGGAAGAGATGCACCAGCCATGTGCCCCAAGAGCTGCTAAGAAAGTTTCTCGCCTCTTTCCCAGGAGTGGGGACAGATGGTCCTCACGGGGTCCTGACAGAGCCCGCACCAGGTGGGACCAGGACGGCCACCGCCCTGCTCGGGGAAAGGACCCTCCCGCTTTTCCACGCGTGGATGGGGCAGCGGCGCTCCCCCGCGGGGCTTACCCAGCTTCTCCTGGCTGACTCCGTTGGAGCTGCTGGAGTTCTCCACCAAGGTGCTGGTCTCGTCGCGGTTCAGCGCAGCCTCCGCGTCGCCGGGCGGCTGCTCGGGCTTGGGGCCGCCGCGGGGGTGCTGCTGCCGGCCGCCGTGCGAGTGCCCGTGCCCGTGGGCGTGCCCGTGGCCCCCGACGCCGTGGTGGTTGAAGAGGCAGAGCCCCAGCAGGTTGATGATGAGCCCCGCCACCCCCACGGCGATGACCACCAGCGGCTGCTGGATCTCGTGGGGCTCCGTGAAGCGCTCGATGGCCTCCAGCAGGATGGTGAAGCAGAGGGCGGTGAGGAACACGGCGTTGACGAGGGCGCCCATCACCTCGGCCCGCACCCAGCCGAACGTGTTCTTCTTGGTGGCGCGGGTGCGCTGGGCGAAGCGCACGGCCACCAGCGCCACGACCAAGGCCATCACGTCGGAGAGCATGTGGAAGGAGTCGGAGAGCATGGCCAGCGACGACGTGACGCGGCTCACCGCCACCTCCACCACGAAGAACAGGAAGGTGAGCGCCAGCATGCACAGCAGCCGCGCCCGCCGGTTCTGCCAGCACCGCGGCCCGCCCGGACCGTGCGCCGCCATCCCCCCGCACATCGCGGCTGCCCCGGCGGGGGCGCGAGGAGCGCGGCGGGCGGTCGGAGCCCCGAGCGCTCGGGCGGCCGCTCCGCTCCGCTCCCCCCGCGCCGCCGCCGCCGCCGCTCCCTCCGCAGGCGCCGGGCGAGCAAACTTTGCACCCGAGCCCCCTCACTCTTTTCACACGGAACCCGAGCGCCGCCTCGGCCACGCCCCCGCCCGAGCCCCATTGGCCGGCGCGCCCCGCCCGCCCGGCCGTGCCCTCCCGCCCCCGCGCCCGGCTCCGCTCGCCATTGGCCCGCGCGCCCTCGCGACAGCGGGGCCCCGCCCCTGCCCGGTAACGCCCAGCGGGCCGCGGCCTCCCCGTTCCGCCCGCCCGCGCCTGAAACGGGGAGTGGGCGGGGCCACGCGTGACGCGCCGGGGAACGACGGATCCCCATTGGCTCACGCCGCCGGCTTTCCCCTCCCGCCCCGCCCCCGCAGGCCCCGCCCGCGGCGAGCGGGACTCGTGCAAAAGGTGCGCTTCACACGGCCCCGGCCCGGCGCGCGCCCGGGGGCGGGGCTCCCTCTGCGGGCCGCGGGGGCGGGGCCTGGCGTGAGGGGCGCTGTGACGTCACGCGTCCTGAGCGGGGATTTCGGGTGGGATTTGCGCTTTTCCGAGACTTTTTGCGGGAGGGGGGGCGGTCTCTGTTTAATTCTTTTCCTGCTCGTGCCACTGAGGGCAGGAAGATAAGCGCGGATGCGATCACTGATAAGTGATGGGCGGCTAAAAAAATTGAAAAGAAGAAGAAAAGAAGTTTTGCTTGAAGTTTTAAAAGGCTGTATAGTATAATATAATAACGTGTTAATAAAGTAAATATAGAATAATTGCTATAATGTTAAATAAATACTGATTATTACGTTTCATAATAATTGTTGTATAATAATATAGGGAGAAATATATAAATGCTAAAAGGTCAGTCCCCGGACACTGTTTGGTTTGTTACACTTGTAACAAAAAAAGGAAAGGGAAAGCAAGTGTTTTGATACATCCGAAAAAACCACAGAAGCGTGACCACAACATTAAAAAAGAAAAAGAAAATCACCGCAGTTACAAAAAGGCAGAGCTGACCTCTTACTTTGCCCTCTGTTTGCTAGGAACCAAGAAGCACGGCAGCAAGAGGAAGAGTGTGAAAGAATATCCATGAGGGGAAGGAGCAGAGCAGACAGCGCGTGTGGAGCTGCGGCTCTGTGTGTGGGCCCGCACAGCCGGTGCCCTGAGGAGGAAGACCTAGCAGAATGCAAAATGTTGTTCCTATACTTGGAGATTTCAAAGCGCTTGTGATTTAGGGTCTGTGCAAAAGTTCCTGACTTCATTTTGGCTGTAAAATGACAGGAGGTGCTCTCGTGTCCGCAAGGAAAGCGTTATCAATGAGAATAACTGAGAGCAGTGATTCAGGACAGGCTTCCCTCTGTCGGCAGCATCCCCATGAGCCCGCACCTGGATACCGCACTGTTATCCGTGTGTGCCATTCCCTCACCTTTGCGTAACCTTCCTTGCATGGCAGAGCTGCCTTGGGCACTGCTGTGCTGACCTGTGACCCTGAACCCTGTTTTCTGTGGGAGTAAAAATCTGTTTCTTGTGTCAAAATCTAGGTGTGCTATGCGCTGGACGTAGCGGTCGCAGCCCCCACAGAATTCTTTAATGACCATTGTAAAGGCAGTCAGCAATTAGATTGCTATGACATTCTCCTCACCTGCCTGGCTTCCCGTATGCCCTTACGTCACTTACTAAGTAAATTACTGGGAAGGTGAAGGGCAATTACATGGAGACTGAACATGCCCATGTTGTATCGTCCTCACTCCCACACAAGGCCATTAGTTAACAAGGAAGAATTGCCCAAATTTAGGATATATGGGTCAAAGAAACTGGTGCAGATCAAACCTCTTTTAATTCCTGCAGGTGAAATGGGTCATCATTTTACAGGGATTGCTGTTAATCCAATGGAATTTAGCCAGGAAGGAAGGGAGGACAACAAGTTTGGTGTCTCTCATTGGCTCACATCCAGGAATTAGTGAAATTGGGTTTTAGTTGGTTGCCACTGGGGTGTCATCATAGTTTTCTTGATTAAAAGTACTCAGTCCCCTCCTGAGAGAAATAAACAGAATATCATTATCAGTAGAACCCTGATGAATAAAACTTCATTATAAACTTGTCAAGAGCATTGCCTGATTTAAGGAGAGGAGTTAGGGCTTTTTGGACTCCTTTCTTGGTATGCAAACGATGTCCAGATCAATTTGTGATCCTTTTACCGTCTCTTCACCATGAGACCTCCTGATCTGCTCCACACCACTGGCCAAGTACTGCAGCCTTCCCCTTACAGGATGGCATCTTGTTGATCCTTAGCTGTATCCAGGGATAGCTTTTTGTCCTGCTATACCATGCTGAATGCTTAATTCTACTTGGGCCAAAAGCCACAAGACATGGACCATATAGCCCGGGAGAATGGGAGGGTGTGGTTTCTTCCCAGGCAGAGAAGAAAAATGGTTCCTGAGGCCTTCCACTGCTCCCTGGTGAATAGGACTGGGTGTGCAGTTTTGACCCAGCCACTGTTGTCTCGATGGGCTTTGATGAATGATCCCCTGTGGCAGCCCAGTCCCGCTGCTGGATGTGCCAGGCATGGCCTGGCAGCTGGACCACACAGGCGTTCACACTGCTACCTCTTCCCCACACTCTTTCTTGTAAACCAGTGGGCTGTACGCTGCTCTTTCCAGGCTTTTCTATTGTATTACCATACACCAGCAGCCAAGAGGAACAGGGGTGGTTCCTAAACTTAGGACTGTCCATCTGGCAGCATCATCAATTTTAAGATTAATGGGAAAGTGTCTGATACAGATACATAATGAAACCATAAATGGTGTTTTACAGGAGACACAATGTTCCTGCTTATGCTTTTAGGGAGAATACTTTGTCTTCAGAGTAGGGAGGGCTCTGGAATTTTATTTTTTTTATTTGTTTGGTTTTGGATTTTTTATTTTTTTTAGGCTTCCAGGCATTGTTCATGACTCAAAGAATTCTTTCTCCGCTCAGCTTCCGGTCCACAGATGTGGAAGGACCCATCTAAAATCTGTTTACTTACCATAAAAGCTCGGTGTTCCAAGGGAAGAAGTAACTGTGGATGTCTGACACACAGCTTTCCCCCCCCCACCAGAGCCAGGTGACAAGTCTGAACAGAGAGCTGCTGCTTGTCATCTGTCCTGCAGCAAAACGTTTTGTACCGAGTCCTGCTGGGCTCTCCTGAGCCAGCCGAGCCCTGTGGGAAGAGCAGGACTTTGGCTGGGAGTTTTGCTGTTACTCAGCATGTTTGCTGAATAAATGAAGTCCCTGCTTTTTCCCTTTGAATTTCTGCGCAGGGTTGCAAGTGGAGAGATCTCCGCCGCGGAGGGCTCTTCATCACCCTGTGCCTTTCCACTTGGAAAAGGTGAAACCCTGCTAGAAGCCACCGATGCAGTCACACATTACAGAGCACACTGCCTCCTTTTAACACCTAACTCTTCCCCTTTCTGTGCAGTCATCAGACCTGTCGGCTTTTAATGAGGGTTTTGTGGGACTGTGGCAAGCATGTCTCCATCTGTCTGTTCCACTTCAAGGCTGTCAGCGTTCTTTTTAGGCTGCGTTTCTCACAGGCAGTGAGCATCTCTCTCTTTGGTAGCTGTCCTTACAAGGTTTCTTCAAATTAAATGCACTCGGGATCACCGAAGCCAACAGAAGCCCTCATTGCCCAGTTACCTGCATAAAAAAGGTTGTTCCTTGTAATGAAAAACAACACAAATGAAAAGTGAGTGTTGCTGTTCATGTAGCTCTAAGGTGGATTCACTGTTATGCACCGATTCAGGAAAACAGCTTTATCAAGGAAAGGACTTGGACATGTGTTTGCAGTTAATTAAAAGGCCTTCTTTGAACAGAGGCAAGTTAAGTGTGTGCTTACATGCTTTTGTTTGTGACCTGTGAAGAAAGACTATAGCAGTAATTGGCACTGAGATAGGAAATGAAGGACACCTTGCTCTACAAAGAGATTTCTTCTTCTACCTGGTTTTACTGTGCCTGTGAAATCTGGGTTCTTTGGATGTCGGTGGCAGAACTCCAGGCAAGTTGAGGTGATCAGTATGTCATCCACTATACTTCTGAACCTTGCAAAGCAGATTAAAACCCCTTTTTTTCCCCTTTCTGAAACATTTTCTCCCTAATGAAAAAAGAGCTGATATTTAAAATATGCCTCTCTTATGTCCAGTTTTGATCTTTCCTTTATGTTGCATTTTTACTTTCAAGCTGCTCACTTGATTCTATGGCATTCAGTATCCTATAACTGTTCCAGAACTTCAGGCACATTTAACTGCATGGCCAATCTGTAATTGTTTCTAATGAACAGGTGTGCCCTTTTTGGTGGATTGAAGAGCATTTTCTGGCTGCTTTGATTACCAGTTTGTCTGCTTATGATACAAATAGTATTTTCCTAAAACCCACAAGTAGGCAGGTGAAATAGTTGCTCAAATCAGCTGTGAAATTAATACTGATATTAACTAACTTACTGATATTAGCTAACTAATAGCTCTATTAGTTAGAGCTAATGTTTTATTCAGCCAGTGCTTGAGTGGATCCAAATAGAAAAATCACCACTATATTAATCATTAAAGGAAAAAAAGGCAGGAGAACTTGTGGTGTTATTCACTTTTGCACACAGTGTGGCTCTCCGGTGGAAAGAGTAACAATGACTCAAGAGGGATCGGAAAATTCTGTAAATATGGAACTCTGGAATGGAAATATGTCTTTGCATCTGATTGGTTCATAACATTTTTAATTATTACTGAAATAAATTACTATCCTTTTATGGTATTTTTAATAAATCATACTGTTAAGCTCTGCCTTTTATTTATCTTTAGAAAGAACATGAGTATAAGCCAATTCTCTTGGAGCTGTGGTAATGAGTATCAATGAATCAGTGGGTAATTGCTGAGGACAGACACTGAGAGAGATATGTGCTAATCACAGTGGTGCCTGCTACACCTATTTACAGTATCAGGTCCTTTCAGAGAGCTCGCAGTACATTCTGGTGCCTGAGCTGGTTAATTTGGGGCAGGAATTTCCTTTGTCACAGTAGGATGCTGGATTTCATTGGTGAAGGATCTCTAGATGGTCTCTTGTTGGAAGAAGATC